CCGTGAAAAGGCTTTCTCCTTGAAAAACTTCGAAACTCAAATACTTCCTATGAGTAAGGGAGTAAAAAGGAGCTGGCCTGCAGCTGTGCTCACGCATAAAGTGGAAGGGAAGCTTCACAGCAGAGCATGAACTAAAAAATTGGGCTGGATCACAGACAAAAATGACATTCACGCTGCTTTGACTTTACTACTAGGAGCAGCTCTGTTTATCAGTGACGTTCACAGCCTGGCAGTCATTGCTGTGTGTGAAACAGGCAGTAGGGACGACGAGCCCGCCCGGCACGGCTGGGCTCCACGTGCCTGTCAAGATCAGCGTTAATTCTGCGTAACGACCCGGCCACGGCAGCAGGAGTTGGTGTGTCCAAGCTCTGCGGTGGTCTTGAAGGGTCCCCTCTTCTCCCCTCTCCCCGACAGCCCACGCAGCTGGGAGCAGCTGGAGCCGGAGCGTTTCCTCCCGGACATCCGACAGCTCCCAGTGCAGATGCTGCACCAGATGCTGCTGCCAGCACCCCTGACCCCCCCGCCTCTCCCGCCAAGCCCCCCCGTCCTTCAAGCCCTTAAACCATACTCACTGCAAAAACCATTCCACTTAAATTAAAGCTTAGGGCACATATTAAAAGTCCTCCTATAGGGAAAGCTACTCCATAGGCTCGGATATATTCTGGGTTCCTCCGGTAAGATGGAGCATTGCCTTCTCTGCCAAGGGAGGGGAGCAGAGATCGGTATCACGATCCTCCAATTTTATCTGCCCTCAGGAACGCTGATTGGCGTGACAGGTCAACCGAAACGGGGGGAGGAAGCGTGAGGGCTGTATTTACCCGGGAGCTTGTACATATTTACAATAGAGGCACAGAGCCAACTCAAATCCCGCTCAACTACCAGCTCCGTTGAAGGGCTGCAGCAGCACGGCTGCTCCGCTCCAGCTGCCGAGCATCTTAGCTGCAAAACCTAAAGCTTTCCAGACCATCCCCTCCTAACCGATGCCATTTCCCAGGCCGAGGGCCGTGGAGGAGACGCAGGACAGGCAGGGACGGGGCTCTGCTCCCCCACAGCCACCACCAGCCCCAGGCTTGGCTTCAGTCCACCATTGCCACGTACGGCTCTGCTCAACGTCTGGCAAGACCCAGGGCTTTGCCTGGAACGATAAACCTTGCAAGGCTTCCCCTCCTCTTTCCTCCCAACATGATTTCTGCTCCGAAAGCTCCAGGTTTCCTGCTCCAGGCTGGGGAAGGGGAGGGACTCCTGGCCTTGGGGCCCTACAAGCCAGGCTCTGCCTCCGGGGAGGAGGAGGATGGGCTTCGTCCACCCAGCGCTTGTCGGGCTCCACGTCCTGCTTCAGAGCTTGTCAGGAAGGACGGACACCGTCGTCCTCACCGGAGGCGAATGAAGGACCAGAATTTGGGGTGCCAAGTCAGGAAGGGGGGATTTAATCTCTGGAGCAAATGAAGAGACAATTCCTCTTTGCAATCCACTGTTTCGGGAAGGATTTTGCAGCATGCAGCGGCGAGGCGGTAAGGAAAAGTTTCAGGTTCATCAGCCCCGACTGCTCTAGGGTCCAGGTCGGGCAGGATCCTGCCGCTGCCAGAGGCGCGGGATGGGCGAGAGGATGGAATGGAGATAAACAGAGAAGGATGGGGTAGGGAGAGCTTCCCACGGGAGCTCAGAGACAGATACGGATAGACGGTGACCCTCCAACTTCTGGCACAAACCGACCAAAATATCTGCTCTGAAGAGGCAGTAAGGTGCTCGTCACTTAAAATCCCTTAAAGTGTAAGCTGTTACAGTAATTTGGTGGGAAGCAGAAAGGATATTAAACTGTTTGCAGGCAGTGATAAGGTGCCTACCTCATTAACAGCCAAGGAGCTAAAGGGTTCACAGGCAGCTGATGCCTTCACGAGAACAGGTTTTGAATTCTAACAGCAACAGAGCAAGGTGTTAACGTGTCCTGAAATTCTCATTACCAGGGGAAAGGAAGGAGGAAGAGCCAGAGGCTCCGGCAGGCGGGAAGAGCCCAGGTGCCGGAGCTGCGGACGGAGGGTGGGCATGGGGAGTGGTGTTTCACTTCTTCCTGGTAAGCAGAGAATAAATTCAACGAAACCCTCCTGGAGCTGGGGCAGATAGAAAGTCTCGAGTCTCACTCACACGGAGCAGAGGACAAGACAGGCTGATCCCACCGAGCTAAGGGCAAAAAAAACCCAAAAAACTCAACTACACCGAGAGCCATCACCCGTTTCACCGGGGGCTGAGCAGAGACGCCCACCTTCCCTTACGAAATGCCCCCTGAAAACATCTCAGTGATGGACGTGAGGGTGCCCAAGCTGCAGCCCAGAGCCACAAGGCAGCCTGCAAGGATAAGATGACTTTTCCCTACTCATACACACCAGCACTGGGGTGTCAGACCCCAAAGGGGTGTTTGTACCTTCGGTAAGGGTGAGGTCCCGTCTTGGGGCAGCGGAGGATCGGAGTCGAGCTGGGTCCCCAGGAACCGAGCGCAGGAGCAGCTCAGGGTGCCCGCAGCGCGCACACACTCGGTTACTCTCTCCCGGGAGGACCGGGCATCTTGACACCACTTAAAGGCACTAATTCTCCATGCCACAGGCTTTAATACCCCACAGCGTCTTCCCATCAGTGATGAAGATGCCATCCCCCTGTTAGGAAAAGCTGGGAAGCACGGGAAAGCTTTCCCTGCTTCCACTCCATCCAAAGTAACTCGCTGCCAATCATTAACCACCCGCTTCCAGGGAGGGGAGAGGGAGTTAAAATTAAGCCCCCAAACCATCCTTTGACCCCACGGCAGGGCGAGCCTGGGAAACTGCCCGGGCTAACGTCCATCCCCGCTCTGCTCAACACCTCACCATCTCCTAGTGACCTTCAATAGTGCCAAGACCCATTTAGATTAATTTTTAGT